CTTCATCGTTGTTGTTGTTGATGTGTCTTCACATTCGAAACCGTTCCGATCTCTCTCTACCCAGTACCTTCATAGGTCCGTACTTACTTGTGGATTACCTGTTGGAAATTGTGGGAATCCCTTCATTCCGAGAGAGCCATAGGTCGGCATCCGGCCTTTTCTTTTTTGTATGCACTTTTCTTCTTGTGAAGTTTTGACGTTGCGCTTGCCATCGTCGCTTAAGTTGTTGTGTCTTCAAACCTTCTCAGCCGACCTTCAAAATTATTGTTGGTACGTTTCCGTGGTAACTTCTCCGCGCATGAGTCATATACAGTTGTGACCTGCGCTTTGACTTTCACGATGGGTATTTTACCTCCTCCCCGTCTTGCATTGGTGAGTACCTGCGTTATACGGAAGGATCGTTCCACGACGCAAACGTCGACGTCTCCTTTTTCTTTTCTTTTTCCTTCGCATTCCTTCCTTGCCGCGGTTTTCACACCGACTTCAAACTTCGAACGTGGGGTGCAATTTCCTCTCTTCGTACCTTCCTGGTCGGCCTCCTCCATCGTTATGTACATATTGTGTACCTCGATTTTTCGGGTTTTCGATTCCGATAGACAAAACTACGGACTGACATGTTCCTTTCACCCCCGACGGGACTGCGCGCTCATCGAGTGCCGAAATTCTTCACCACTTCCTTGCCTCTCCCAACACCGTCCCTTCTTCCCGCCCCTACAAATCATCTCCCCTTCTTCTTCCCTTCCTCCCGGACACTCACCACCATCCGTCCTGGATGATGGCCCCCAGCCCCATTGGGGGGCGGGGGGCCAATCCTTAACAACCCTAGTTCATGTGTAGTGACGGAAACGTGGTAAGCATGAAAATGTCGTTCTTCGGACATGGGTAATACTGTAGAAATCAAGGCCTGTCCGCGAAGTAGTCCGACAGCTATAGTAGGGAGGCATGTTTCCGCGGAGATCGCGGCACGCACAACAGGGAACGTACAGGGACGGACGCGCCTAAGATATACCTTTCTCATGACAGGTTCACTCTAGGTGTATTCTCCACACCACACACCACACAAACAAACTTGAGCCGACGCGCGAACCTTCAGACAACCATCTCCTACGACACACACACAGAAATCATGAACCTTCGCCGATCCCCATTTCGTGCATGCTGCTAAATATTTCATCGACCTTTGTGATGCGTACGTTCGTGGATGAAAGGGTCACTTCTTTCTCCGCCATGACAGATTGGTACTTATGTACGAAGTACAAAATAAGGGCCGGCAAAATGTTATTGTATTGGGTGTGTTTAATTTTTGTTTAATGTTTTTGGTTTGTGGGAGACGATTGTCAGCTGGAATTCGAACCTACGTTGATCCGGAGTGATATGCTTGAGGAATAAATTGCGTTTGGAAGTAATATGTGCGTGGAGATGGAAGGAACCCATGTGTGGTGTGGGAACCTACATATCTATGTATGCACTTCTAAAAACCTATATTGATCGCCAAAGAAACACTGCAAGCTTGGGAGTTTTCGAACAGAAGTGAAACACGCTGTATGGCAAACCGTCTACGATCGGTTGAAATGGTATTATTGTACAAATAACTGGCAGAGTTGTATGTGGCCGTGACCAAGTAGGACGGTAGCAGCAGTTACAGCAGCTGGTGCGCCAGGCCACCGTCAACGCAGTTACTATCAGTTGTGGTCTGCACACCGAAATCTGCTTGATGATCAATTATCGCGGTCTTGCATGTCGTCGAGTTCTGTCTTCACGGTCGATGTGTCACCGTGACGGGCGGCGACACACACGCAGAAGGGAGCATGTCTTACTTGCTGAACACACACACGATTTGTCGCACCCTCCGTTTCTCCCCTCGTCTCCACAGGTATTATAGTATGTCGCCAATAGCAGTCCATACCCTCCGGCCTCTCTCTCGATCTCCCTGGTGCCCCCCTTCCCCCAGCCATGGTTCGTTCTTGTTCGCAATACCTTGTCAGACCAGCAGCAGAACCTGGTGGATTCTAATCCTCCCTCGGTAGCGTCCATCGGGATCTCTCATTCATTTGGCATTCCTACGTTCACTGCAATCTACAAACTGTCATCGGCCTACTTTTCTTCGAATCTATAGTTACTCTGCGGTCATCGTCATCGTACTACTGTAGGTGTGGTGGAATTCTGATCTCTATCGCTCTTACCAAACTGGTGGGGAAGGTGACGGTCAGGATGGCCATCGGGACAAAAAAAACTCGGAAGAAACTGTGCCGGGGTGATGGATTCGTGTTGCCGTGCATGTCATAATCGGCATTCGCGAAAGGAAAGGTGACCGTGTTATTTTGAAGGTGTATCTACCATAGATCCAAAGAGTAACGATAGAGTAGAGACTGGTTGCAGACAAGGCTTGAGCGAGTGATCGAATGAAAGCATGCAGGTATGAGTAATTTCGCGAGAGAATGTGATTGGGCATGGACAGAGAGGTGAGATAGGAGCATCAAGTACAGAACGCGCCACACATAAAACCTTGGTTATGTCGAGCCTCGTATATATGTTGTCTATGCTCACGCCGGCTACATAGGTTATCGTTGTCGGCTTGTTGACTGAATACCTGTTCTTATCACCGAGTTCTTTCATATTGTATTCTTCGAGGCTCAATTTAAGCTACTGCTCCAAGTGCTTTTAATACGTGGTGGAGCTTGCTGTAAACATCGAGTTTTTCGGTAGACCTTGGTGAGCCTTTCGGCAGAGAGATGGAAGAGTGAATGAACATATGTGAACATAGCCAACTCGGTGTGATGGTAAACGGATGTGTGCGGTACAGTATCGTCGTACGAAGTCGCGAAGCCGTCGCGGTTCGCCCAGCGGTCACTGTCGCATTTCTGTACATAACTCGGCGTCTACGCTGTATCTCATTCCGCCTAGTCTACAATTGTATTTACGTCTGCATATGTGAGTCCTGAAGAATCGCCGTTGAGAAGGCGACATCCCAGTCATGTGGTATCTTGTACCATATGAGAATTGCATCAGCGGTGGAAGTGTGATCGTTCTGCCAGAAGTATCTATCTCATTGGACAACAGGCGATGCCCAACAACTGCTGTGTGGCCACGGGTGGAGGATGCATACATGGGAGTGAGTGTGTGTGTGTGGATCGTGCGTTAAATTTTACGTCTGTCTGAAGTATGAGGTCAAACAGAATAGTCTACACACATCAGGGAAGGAAAAATGTCAAAAAAACTGCCTGATTTGCGACCTGACGGATATGTACCACCGTTATCTCGCAAATATATGCGACCAAAGCTTACGCATACTGCTGTACGGGTATTGCTCTCAGCATGTGTGTGAAATTTCACCCGCTGACAAGTCGTTTCGGATGAGTTAGAGTGAAAATACCTCCATGTTCAAATTTGAGGCGAAAGCGCTCGAAACCCATGCCAAAAGTTAGACATTTGCATTGTTTATTTTCTGCTACCAAGACTGAAGTAATATTTCTCCCCATGGTGCTGTGTGCATGGCAATACGATACACTACTATATACGAAGTATATCTTTGGTTTCTCGTCCTTCGGAATTGGTTCAATTCTCGTGCCCTTAAACCGCGGTAGGGTCAGACAAACAAGGCCTTTTCGCGTCCGTCCTCGTTCCGACCTACAGGTCACGTACTACTCTATTTTTTTACCCCTGAATCGCCAGCGGTGGAGGTCACGCGAAGCGCTAAACCCAATGCTCTTCCACAGACATGCAGGTACCTGATAAGACAATAATGCCCGCCCGTTCTACTTCGTGATTCAATCAAGCGTTGAATGGTGTGGATATAAAGCCAGACAGTAATAAACGGAGGGGCCTACGTTATAGTTATCAGTCTACGATGCATGTATGCACTCAATATTGCTCTGTGCCTTGGGTTTATCCTCCAGTTTGGGCGGTGCCGCCAATCCTCAAAATCCTTGAAGGTCCATCCTCGATACGTAATATTGTTCCTTCCCGGGCCAAATTCAACAGAGCAAGGATTTCGCACGCGAATCCCACACCGGGAAAATACGTGATAAGAGTGAACTGTGGTAAACGTATTGTTTCGTCACATACGGTAATACACGCTACACCACGATCGTTTCCTATACTTGTACGCTACAAGATCCAGCGCCATCACAACACCTATACCTCGAGAACACGCACACCTTTCACCAAAAGGGTACAAAAGCCCCAATAGGTACATTACCAAACCCTGCACTGTTTGCGCCGCCAATAAAAGGTACACAAGCCGAAATAACGTACAAATCCTGCAGTACGTTGTGGTTCGCAACACCCATGCAAGGCGAGATAGGTGGCCGTCCCGCCGAATCAGGGGGCGGCCGCCCTAGTACGGTGCTACAGTAGACTATACTACACGTGTTACTTCTGTATTTTAGCTTCTTGATGTACTCACATCACACCACGACACCATTTCGAATGGGTTCGTTTCTTTCGGTGTCTCCGCAGATACCGGCTGGCTGTTCTACAAAGCAGCGGAGAAGGCTAAGTCACCCGACACATCTTTCGTATTGACGGTGAGGCCGGTCTCCTTATATTACAACCTGGACTGGATACCATGTCAGAAGAAAGTAAGCTCTCCGATGCCGAAGCTATACACAAATGCCGCTGCTACCGCTGCGCAACCCAACGGTAACTACGTAGCCAACATCTTGCTCGTGACACATGGATGCTGGGAATCAACTTAGGATTAGTTCCTAAGACGAAGGGACAAACGATCCGTGTGGGTGTGGGCAACTGATGCCGCTCACGCATTCTTTGGTGGGAGGGAAAAATGGATGTAGGAGCTGTTGTTTTTTTAGGGCGCGGATTGTAACTTCGCGAAGACAAATTAGTCAAACATATGGACTAGATTTATCGTTGCATCGGGAGATGAACTTCACGCCGCCAACTCCCCCCAGGGCTTGTGCGCGGTGTCCGACGCTCGCCCGCTGCCGCGCAAAAGTCACGAAAAGCAAAACGCGATTGACCCAATAATTTGTCGTTGGTTTATGTCCTGTACTCCGTTGTATTTTCAGAATGAAGTATACAAGAACCCCGACCTCTGGATCTGCCTGTTCGTGAACTATGGCTGCGACGAGTGGGAACTTGAAAAGCAATGCGTGCATTCTGCGTGGATGACCGAGGGGGGCGAACCGGACGCGGTGTTCTACCCCAGAGTCAAACTGGGCCAGGAACAAGAAACGACGACCGAGCAACTACAAATCGAAGCTATTCCTGAAAACACCGATTTTGACAGCGAGGGGAACTACGTGGAGGATGTGAGCCTCGAAATCTCCCTTACTTCCTGAATCATGTTGTATTTCTTGCTGCTGGTCTGGGCACGTTTTCACATGAAGACTTGTGGTGTTACCTTGGAATTTTCGGTGGTGCTATCCTTGCGCCGTGCACATGAAATTCCCATGAATCACGGGTACAGGCGGGTGGTATACCTCATGTCATGTCGAAAGATGCACCCTGTGCGCCGATTCCATAGCCGATATCTTGACAGCGGGAAGAGTGTCAGCGTCCAAGATACCTCGTCGACATCTTTTGGAACAACACCATTCAGTGTTTGCGGCCTCCTTGTTGCCGACGGAGCCGTCGAGTTTGAAACCGGTCTCGGCCTCCGTAGCTGCAGTCACGTCTACAACACATGTAGATCGGATGGTGTACGAGGGGCTACCCGCACTACCGTACCGAAACATTTTTGGGGGGGATAATGGCCACCGTTTCGTCCTCAATCGCTATCTAGGTTCACGGCAGTCGCTCAAACACCCGAGGACTGGCCGAAACGGCACTCCAGTCCCAAGAATTCAAGTTCGCAACGTTGAAAGCTGGTATATTTTCGAAATTGACACGTTCGCCTTGTCGTAGACCCTTTCGGGTGTTCCTGTATGTCTGTCCCGTGTGAACGCAGCATCGTCATCCGCGAAGAACAAAAGGGCATTCAATCAAACTTTGGCGAAACTGCCTAGCGCAAACGTCTCTCCGACGTACGTCATTCTGTGGCCCACAGGGGCGAGCTCCAAGGAGCCATGATACTTGTGGCCTTGCCTTACAAACATCTAGCGAGACGTCAGTGCATCTGAATATCCAACACTTCCGCTGTATTCGACTTTTGTGCCGTTCTTCCGGATTCAATGGCGTCGTTGTTGTGGTTTGTAGGGGAGAGGCCAGTGCGTGGTTTTCAAGACGTCGGCTGCGACCGCCTTTGTTGGACAAGAACGGGACCCCCACGAGTTCCTGGACTACGTCCATTTGGATGTGAGCTACTTGAACCGCCGAATTTCGACAGTTGCGGTCCACGAAACACTGCTGTAGCGTACATGTCGTGTTTCCTACATATTGGTTATGTGTTCGGTTTTGCCCGCCGCCCGCCCAGAGCAAGACCTCTTCATACGCCCACGTCTCTGTGGACCTCTCCTTTTTGTCCTGTGTAACTCCACATGTGATCGAAGTGATTTGCCGTACACGGAGGTAACCCAGAGTGTGTGGTGGTTCCCGGCACCAACGATTGGAAGTACATATCATCCGAGCCTACAGTAGGACAAAACGTTGGGTTCCACACGAGTTACACAACCCCATACATGGCAATGACACAAGCAAGTCTCCGCTTGGGCGAATAAAGCACCGACGGAGGGACGCGAAACTGCCGTGGGGGAAAACTGGCAATATCCCGATAGTCTCAACAGCTCACACGCATGAGTGCATGGGGCTGACGGCTGTACTGGCTGATGTATGGAAGCAATATATCGCTCGGGCACATATAGATACGGTAGATTCGATCGCCAACGGCTCTCTCAGGCCACATGGGTTGGCAAACATTCTCGGAGCCACCGTTCGTACCGCTACCCCGGTTGTGGCACCCCGACAACCGTGTATGCCTTTCGCTGAACAGATGTACTGGTACCCCGGCGGCGAATTTGGAAACTCTACGACTTGCGTCGCTGATGGAGTAGAGTGGGCGGACCACAGGTGAAGATTCGTTGTTGCTGTAACTATGTAGGGTATGGCGCCCCTGGGACGGGACGACCGCCGGGATGACACTACTGTAGATGGGTGTAGGAGTAAACCTGTGGGCGGTATCGTCGCATGAGCGTGCGAAGCCGTCCCGTTTCGCCGAGCGGTCTTACATTGCATCTTGGCATTCCTCCCGCGCGTCATCTACGCTGCAACTCATTCTGTTACATGTGTCGATTGAAAAATCTTGGAGAATCGTCTTTGTGAGGGAGGCCTGCCGAAAAGTAAAATCACAAGTTAGGAAGCACCAGCAGTGACGTGACGCGGTGCAACAGGTGTATCGTTTCACGATAGACGAGTAGCGGGCGGTTTGAGGTGGAGCTGTACACGATCGTTCCGCGGGAACCAACCATGCGGCGCAATAGTGGTTTATCGGTTGATCTTTGGCAGCAGCAGGTGATGGGCAACCCGCAACAGCAGGTGGCACCCCAATCCCTAACCCAACTTGTAGCGACGTGTGCTGGAAATGTGTGGATAGTGTGTGAGATCGTACCTCTGCAGTATGAAGTCAAACAGGGATGCTATGTACACAAACCAGGTCTCCCACACCTTCTTACAGTCTTCCCAAACGACCATGGGTGACCCATGGGCCACCCATTGGGTGTTGCCCATGCCCATGGGCATGGGCATGTCCATGGGCAGCCCATCAGCCCATATGGGTTGCCCATGGGCGATCCATGGGCGGCCCATGGCAACCCATGGGAAGCCTATGGGCGGCCAATGAAAGCCCTTCAGCCGAACCAGTGTACTCCTAAACAATGGATTATCTGCGTTGGAACGGGAACTGTAGCGGCTAATAACCCTAACGCTAACCCTAACGCTAACCCTAACCCCAAGCCCCCACGATACGTGCTAGGTTGGCGCTCGTGGCTAAGTTCTAGGTTGATATGCCTGTGACGAAGTTCTAGGTTGAAGTGCCCACGGAGGGCACTTCATGGGCCACCCATGGGCGGCCCACGGCTGTCAAAAGGGCGG